AAGCAACTGACCAGTTAATTATTGTATTGGAGAAAGATGTAGTCATCTGTTTCTGTAAAGATTTACAGCCTTGGAAACTCCCACAAGGTTTTCTATAGTACGCTGTACTATAAAACATTATGAATCAGAATTAATTCAACGGCAGTGATTTATTTATGCCTGGGTGGGAAAATATAACAAATTAATGTTGTTTGTCATCAAGGTGATTCACACTTAAAGTGAATTAAAACCAGTGTATATGAACTGTGTACGTAAACCAGTATAAAATAAAAACTTATTTTCTAAAAAAAGTTACTTAAATGGCCATGTAGTGTTACCGAGGTCGTACTCTTCAGGGATTGTCCAGCAAAGCCTCTGATGAATAGAAACCACTGATGTAACAGTATCTGAAAGCTAAGAAATTACACCACTCTAAATAGTGGTTCTTTTTTTTTCACTTTTTAAAATCAATTTTAATGAAAGTTTACAAAGACTTAAGGTGTCCACTCAATGTTGCACTTTTCTCCCTGCCTGGTCCCTCCACTGCCCCTCCTGCTCCCCCCCCCCGCCCCCATTCACTCTTCTCCTTGAAAAGTAAAAGAAAAACTCTTTCATTGTTACACAATCCCTCCTCCTACGTCCACCCCACTGTGCAGACTTCATTCTGGACTCCAGTCATGACAATAATACCCAATCATATATCCCTTTTAAACAGTTATCTCCCTCATCTGTTTCAATACAGTATACATCATTCCTGCCCTCATTCTCTGCCCTCCCTCAACCTCAATGCCAGTCCCATTTTATAACAGTAACCCTATGCAATATTTGTCCTTTTTTACTGAGATATTTCACTCAGCATAATGTCCTCCAAGGTCATCCATTTTGTATAATATTTCATGAGTTCCTTATTTTTCACTGCTGCATAGTATTCCATTGTGTGAATATACCGGAGCTTCTCTATCTATTCATTTGTTGATAGGCACTTGGACTGTTTCCAGCTCTTTGCAATTGTGAACAAAGAAACAATAAACATGAGTGAGCATATATCTGCTTAGGTAACAGTTATGGTTTCTACAGGGTATATTCCCAGTAGTGGAATTGCTGGGTCAAATGGTATTTCTATTTGCAACTTTTTGAGAAAGCATCACACAGCCTTCCATCATAGCTGCATCATTTCACACTACCACCAACATTGAATAAGGGTTCCAGTTTCTCAGCAACATCGTTAGCATTTGATGTTTGCTATTCTGTTAAAATTTGCTATTCCTACTGGGATGATGATATTTTATAGTTGCTTTGATTTGCATCTCTCTTAGAGCTAGGGATTTTGAACATTTCTTCATATGCTGGTGTGCCATCTGAATGTCTTCTTTGGTGAAGAGTCTGTTCATACCCTGTGCCCATTTTTTTAATTGGGTTGTTTACCATTATCTTGTTGTAGTGCTCCCGTATTTTATAAATTCAAGATATTTTAGAAATTCTAGTCCCTTGTCTCGAAAGGAATTGGCAGACACAGAAAATTTCATGAAACAACATATAAGCAAGAGCCTATGGTGATGAAAGAAGAAGTTCAGGCTGCTTTGAAGGAAATAGCAAAAAAATAAGGCTCCAGGAATAGATGGTATACCAATTGACATATTTCAGCTAGCAGATGCTGCCCTGGACGTGCTCACCAAGTTGTGCCAAGAAATCTGGAGAACAACCACTTGGCCAACTGACTAGAAGAGATCTATATTTGTTCCTATCCCAAAGAGAGGTGACCCAACAGAGTGTGGAAACTATAGAAACACTCCCACTGATTTCACATGCAAGCAACATTTTACTGAAGATTATCCAAAAAAGACTGGAATAGCACATCAGCAGAGAACTGCCAGAAGTCCAGGCTGGGTTTAGAAGGAGTCATGGTACTAGGGATATTGTAGCTGATGTTATATGGATATTAGCTGAAAGCAGAGAATACCAAAGGAATGTCTATCTGTTTCATTGACTATGCAAAGGCATTTGACTGTGTGGATTATAACAAACTGTGGCTGACTCTGAGAAGAATGGGAATCCCAGAACACTTGATCGTGCTAATGCGAAACCCTACTTGGACCAGGAGGCAGTCTTCAGAACAGAGCAAGGGAACACTGCATGGTTCAAAATTGGGAAGGGCATATGCCAGGGATGCATCCTATCTCCATACCTTTTCAACTGATATGCAGAACAGATTATCCTGGAGGCTGGGCTTTATGAAGCGAAATGTGGGGTCAAGATTGGTGGACAATTTATCAACAATCTGCGTTATGCAGATGACACAACCCTGCTTGCTGAAACTGAGGAGGACTTGAAGCACCACCTGCAGAGGGACAAGGACTGCAGCCTACAATATGGATTGAAGCTCAATGTCAAGAAGACAAAGATTCTCACCACTGGACCAATTGGCAGCATCAGGATGGATGGTGAAGAGATTAAGATTGTACACAGCTTTAGTTTGCTTGGTTCCACAGTCAACAGTCTTGGCACCAGCAGCCAGGGAATTAAAAGGTGCATTGCCATGGGAAAGTCTGCTGTTAGGGACCTCTCCAAAGTATTGAAGAGCAATGCTGTCTCTCTGGAGACTAAGGTGTGTTTGATACAGGCCATGGTCTTCATAATCACTTGTTATGCATCAGAGAGTTGGACAATGACCAAGGAGGATAGAAGGAGAATTGATTCCTTTGAGCTGCGGTGCTGGAGAAGAGTGTTGAGAATACCAGGGACTGCTAGGAAAACAAACAGATTTGTCCTGGAAAGGGTTAAACCAGGTGGCTCCTTGGAGCTAAGGATTCTGAGGCTCCATCTAACATACTTTGGACATGTTGTGAGGAGAGACTGGTCCTTGGAGAGGGACATCATGCTTGGGAGGGTGGAGGGACACCGCAGGAGGGGAAGGCCCTCTATGAGGTGGATTGATTCAGTGACTGGGATAATTGGGATGGGAGTGTCTGAGACAGTGTGATTGGCACAGGACAAAGCGGAGTTTAGGGCTGTTGTACATAGGGTCGCTATGAGTCGCAAGCGACTCGATGGCACATAACAACAACAACAGTCCCTTGTCTGACATGTTATTATCAAATATTTTTTCCCAATCTGTGGCTTCCCTTTTTACCCTGTTGGAGAAATTTTTGAATGTGCACAGGGATTTGATTCTTATAAGGTCACCTATTTTATCCTCTCCTGATTGTAGATTTTCCAGGATGCTTCAAAGACTGTTTATGTTTTGGTTAGGACTTCTACAGTCCTTACAAGCTTTTCTTTAATGAAGTTTACAGTCCTTAGTTTTAGTACTAGGTCCATAATCCACTTTGAATTGGTTTTTGTGTATGAAGTGAGGTGTGGATCTTGCTTGAGTTTTCTGCAGATAATTTTTTCATTTTTCCAGCACCATTTGTTAAAAAGGCTGTCGTTTCCCCACTTACCTGAATTCATCTTGTTGACCTTAGGTAGATATGCTGATTTCTGGGTTCTCAATTCTATTCCATTGATCTACGTTTCTGTCATTGTACCAGTACCATCCTGTCTTGACCACCACGGTAGTGTAGTAGGGTTTTAAATCAGGTTGTTGCCTCCTACCTTGTTTCTCATATTAAGGAGTGCTTTTCTTTGCTTATTTGGGGCCTCTTTTCATTCCAAATGAAATTGGAAATTGCGTTTTCAATCTCATTGAACAATGGAATTGGTATTTGTATTGGGATTGCATTGAATGTGTAAGTTGCCTTTGCTAGTATTGTCATTTTCACAATATTGAGTCTTCCTATCCATAAGCAAGGGATATTCTTCCACTTCTGCAGGTCATTTTTTGTTTCTTGTAATAATGTTTTGCAATTTTCTTTAATAGACCCTTTGTGCTTCTGGTTAGGTTTACTCCTAAGTATTTAATCTTGTGTTTAGCTATTGTAAAGGGTATTGTTTTTCTCAGCTCCAGTTCTATATTCTCTTTGTAGTGAAATACAATTAATTTTTGTATGTTGATCTTGTATCCTGCCACTTTGCTGATCTGGTCAACTATGTCAAGTAGTTTTCTTGCTGAATCTTTAGCGTTTCCTAAGTATACTATCATATCATCTGCATAGAGAGATAATTTTACTTCCTTGTTGCCAATTTGGATACCTCTTATTTCCTTCTCTTATCTTTTTGCTATCGCTAAGACTTCCAATGCAATATTGACTAGGAGAGGTGATAAGTGGGCATCCTTGCCTAGTTCCTGTTCTCAAAGGAAATGCCTTGTTTTTATTTTATTTTATTATTTTGTGTGTGTGTGTGTGTACCATCAAATCAGATCCGACAGGTACAGGAGGAGTTTGCCCCTCCTTTTCCGGCAGAGAATCTTGTGGATTCGAACTGCATATCTCTGGGATTGCAGTACAGCTTCTTGCCACTAGGCCACCAGAGCTCCCCAGGAAATGCCTTTAATCTCTCTCCATTGAGAACAATATTGGCTCTCGGGTTTTCATACATACTTTTTACTATGTTGAAGAAATTCCCCTCTAATCCTATTTTGTTGAATGTTTCAGTCAGGAAAGGATGTTGAATTTTCTCAAAGGCCTTTTCTGCATCAATTGATAGAATCATGTGGTTCTTGGTTTTTGCTTTGTTAATGAGATTAATTACATTATATAGTGGTTCTTAAAAATTAAATACTTGGATATTATTTTGTAAGATTACTTGTTCACATTGTTCTGTTTTGTTTGTTTCTTATTTCTGGTTAAACTACAACTCTGTGCTGAGCTAAAATCATAGTGTGTATAAGTTTAGATTCATCTTCAACCAATATCTTTCTTGGCTTAACTCTGGGGAAAATATTCAAGTTCTCTGAACCTCTATTATCTTCATTTTTAACTGACAATTATACCAGTGTTCATCCCACAAGAGCTAATGTGAAAATTAATAGGATAATGTGCCACCTATGGTTGAATGAATAAAAGAAATACTAATATGCAGATCAAGGCTACAATCATCAATGTCATGGGACACTCCGAAGGATAATCATGATGACTTACGTATGGAAGGTGTGCAGCTTCCAAGCCAGTAGCTGTTCCAGTGCCTGTACTTTTCCCAGGAGCAAACTCCGAATCATAGTCTCCTCGCGGCTGGCTGGGTTAATGTGTTGTGCAGTCATATGCCACACATGAATCTCATGCTTCAGCTCTGCAGAAAAAGGGAAGCTGTATTTGGCAATGATTTCTTAGAGGACAGGGTTCTGGTGTTCATAGAGTCTCTATGAGTAATACTGAATGGCACCTAACAAAAACAACTTACTAAAAGAAATATTAAGAGAAAGAAATATTTATGATGGGCTAAATTTCATCAAAATTAATATCTTCTGCATTTTGAAAACCATTGTTAGAATAGTGGAGATTGGGCAAAAAAATGAATGAAAGAATTTGAAAGTGTTGGTGTGATGAAAGACTACATGGCAGTGTGTTCAGAATACACAGAAATATCAAAATCCAATAATAAGAATATAATCTTTCTCAAATAGAATATTTAAATGTATACTTAAAAAAAGAAGACAATATAAAATAATCACATTAAAAGATGGTCAAAATCATTAGGCATTGCAGTTTTTTGTTCTTGTTAGGTGCCATCTAATCAAATACAACTGATAATGCAAAACAAGGCAACTATAAAATGCAAAACAAGACAACTATGAGATATCATCTCACCCCAGTCAGAATAGCAAAATTTAACAAAACAGCAAGCAACAAATGCTGGCGAGGTTGTGGAGAAACTGGAACCCTTATTTACTGTTGGTGGGAGTGTAAAATGGTGCAACCCCTGTGGAAAGCAGTATGGCGCTTTCTCAAAAAGTTGCAAATAGAGACACCATTTGACCCACCAATTATACTACTGGGAATATATGCCAAAGAGACCATAATCGACATCCAAGCGGATATATGCACACCCATGTTTATCATGGCTTTGTTCATAATAGCAAGGAGTTGGAAACAACATAAGTGCCCACCAACAAATGAATGGATAGAGAACCTGTGGTATATTCACACAATGGAGTACTATGCTGCATTGAAAAACAAGGAACTCATGCAATATTATTCAAAATGGGTGACTCTGGAGGACATTGTGTTGAGTGAAATATCTCAATTATAAAAGGACAAATACTATATGGATCCACTGTTGTAGAGTCTGACATCAATATATTGAGGCTGACATCAAGGTGGGAGTAAGACTGAGAAAAACTGAATAAATTACATATACTGCATTGAAGCCAAATTGTGTATGCTGCATTGAAGCCAATGAGGGAGAGAACAGTTTAAAAGTAATATATTTTAGGGCATTATGATTATCATAAGAGTTTAGAATGAGGGTTGCAGAGTGGAGTATACTCGGGGTGGGGGTCGGGGGGTGCAGGGGAATTGTATACAAATGAAGGAGTTTTTTTTCTTTTGCTTTTCAAGGAGAAGAGCGAACTGGGGGTGGCAGTGGGGGTGGGATGGGAGGGTAGAAAAGTGCAACAATGAATGATTGGAAATCCAAAATTTCTGTAAGTGTTCATTGAGATTAATTTTTTAAAAATTAAAAAAATACAACTTATAGTGATCCTGTGAACAGTCCACCTGAACTTTGTCCTATCCCATGCCTTCCTCATATTTTCTGACAAACTAGAACCCGTTGTTGAAATCTCTGTATTAATCCATCTCATTGAGGGGTCTTTTTCTCCTTTGCTGACCCTCAATTTTTCGAAGCATAATATCTCTTTCCAAGGAATAACCTCATCCAACTACATGTTTAAATTATGAAAGACTTCATCATTCTTGCCAACAAAGGAGTACTCTAGCTGCATTATTTCCAAGATATATTCATTTGTTATGTTGGCAGTCCATGAGATATTCAGTACTCTTCTCTAGCACAATACAAAGGCATAAATTCTTCTGTCATCATTTTTCATTACTCTGAACTCTGATGCATAGCACGTGATTGAGAAGAACACAGCCTGAAACAAGTGCACCTTGGTCCTCAAATTGACATTATCACCCTTTAGCATTTTGGAGAGGTTCTTGAAAGTGGACTTACCAAATGCAGTACATATCCTAGTTTCCTGACTGACAGTACCAAAGATTTTTGATGCAAGCAACATTAAATCACTAAGAGCTTCAACACTTTCTCAATCAAAATATTGACTGTTGGTCCTATAGTGAGAACCTTTGTTTTCTTGATGCTGAGATGTAATCAGTACTGAAGTCTTGATCTTCTGCAACAATTTTTCCAAGTCCTCCTCACTTTCCACTAGCAAGTTGTGTCATTTGCAAAACACAGGTTGTTGATGACTCTTCCTCCAATTCCTCTTCACATAGTCCAGCTTTGGGGGTAGATAGCTCTGTGGTAGTGCATTTGCATATAGTCCAGCTTCGTGGATTATTTGTTTATCATAAAGATTAAATAGCTATGGAGAAAGGATCCAAGTAAAATGAGATTGTTGACAATTTAAATCTTTTCTCCATCTATCATGATGTTGGGTTTTGGTCCAGTAGTGATGATTTTTGTATTCTTGATGTTGAGGTGCAATTCATATTGAAGGTTGCAATTTTTTATCTTCTGCAGCAAGTATTGAAATGAGTACTTGAAGTACTCTTCACTTTCAGCAAGCAAGGTTGTGTCATCTACATAACACAGATTGTTGATGAATTTTGGTCTCATCTTGATGTCATAATCTTCTTCACAGAGATCCACTTCTCAAATTATTTGCAAGAAAACATGTTTCTAGGATTTATCTAAAGTAATACCTCCTCAAAAGTCACATAAAGAGTCTGCTGATATTAGTGTGTGTGTGTGTGTGTGTGTGTGTGTGTTTATTGGTGTCAAGTTGAGCATGACTCATAGTGACCCTATGAACAAAAGGCTTGAAGCCTTTATATAACTATCGTCATTTATTAAATTTCATAGAGTTTACAGAGGTATGTTGTTTGGGAAGTGGATGCCACTATCAAACTCACTACAGTTCATAGTGACTGTAGGAACAAATACCTGAACCTTACTTTATCCTGTGCTATCCTCACTATAACTATTAGCTTGAACATATAACCAAAATGTATTAATAAAACTTGGTGACTTGATTGCAAATTTTTTAAACAAAATTTTGGAAACTGTTGTGTTTTTGTTGGCTGCTATAAGTCAACAGTAACTCATAGCAACCTTATAAACAACAGGTCTGAATTTTTTCCTATCCTGTATAATTCTCATGATCTCTGACATGTTCATTATTATATATATTATTATATATAAGACCATTATTACAATAACTGTGTCAATCCAACTTGTCAAGATCTTTTCTTTGACCTTTAACCTTTCCCAGAATGAGATCTTCTCCCAAAGGTGAAAACATGCCCAAAGTAAGTGAGACTAAGTTTCACCATCCTTGCCTCTAATGAGAACCTGGGTTGCAATTCTTCCAAGACAGACTTATTCTTCTTTTGATTGTCCATGGAGTATTCAATACTCTTCTCCAATACCACAATTCAAAGGCATCAATTCTTCTGTCAAACTTATTAATTGCTCAAATTTCAGGTGCATATGAAGCAAATGAAAAAACCAAAACCTGTATCAGGTGCACCTTAGTCTTTAAACTGACAGTGTTGCTCTTGAGTATTTTAGAGAGGTCCTTAACAGAATATTTTCATAATGCAACATGTTTATTTTTATGGAACACTGCATGCTTTAAAATCAGGAAAGGTGTACATCAGAGTTGTATCCTTTCTCCATACCTATCTGTATGCTGAGAAAATCATTCAATAAGACAGCAAGTCAATAAAGAAGAATATAGTATTAGGATTGAAGGAAGACTCATTGGCAACCTGCATTATTTAGATGACACAACACTGCTTGCTGAAAGTGAAGAAAACCTAAACACTGCAGAAGTTCAAAGATTATAGTCTGCAATATGGATTACATCTCAATAAGAAGAATACAAAATTCTTCACCAATGAATCAATAGGACATGACAAGAGATGAATAAAAAAATAAAATTGTCAACAGTTTCATTTTCCTTGGATCAACATTTAGAGTAACAGCAGTCAAGAAATCAAAAAATTTGCTGCGTTTGGAAAATCTGTTGCCAAAGACCTCTCCTTATGCTAAAGAGCAACAAGGTTAGTTTAAAGACTAAGGTGCACCTGAACCAAGCCACTAAATTTTAAATGACTTCCCATGTTTCTGAAAGTTAGACAATAAATAAGAATGATAGAAGAATCACTGTCTTTGAATTGTGGTGTTGGAGAAGAAAATTCCACGACTGTCAAAATTAGACGCAAATCCGTCTCATAGGAAGTGTAACCAGAGTCTTCCCTACAAGTGAGGATGGTGAAACTTAGTCTCACATACGTTGGGAAAATTATTATAAGGTGCTAGTCCCTAGAAAAAGATACCATGATGGGAAAGGTGGAAGATCATTGAGAAGACATAGCCCAATAAAATGAACCAAAACAGTAACTATAACATTGGGCTTGAACATATCAGAAATCTTCAGGATGGTGCAGGATAGGGCAAGGTTCAGATCTGGATTTTATAGGTTCACTGTAAGTCATGATGGGGTAACACAAGCTATAATTCCTGAAGGATTTGGGAAATTTATAACATTGTCAGAAATAAATTAATGTCAGTTTTTATCAACGTTTATCACAGGACATGGCACTACCAAAAGATTATTTCAGATACAAATATAGGTTGATAGATGATTGATGAGATAGATAGATGATAGATAATAGATAGATAGATAGATAATTGATAGATGATAGATAGATGAGATAGATGGTAGATAGATAGATAGATAGATAGATAGATAGATAGATAGATAGATAATTGTCAGATACCATCAAATCACCTTTGACTCACATTATGCAGGAACCCTTAAGCTTAAGTGGAAGAGAGAAGGACAACTCGAGTGAAGCAGAGAAGCCAGTTCTGGAAAGTAAAAACAGGTTTCCTGGTTTCCCACTTAGGTACTTTTGGGGAAATCACTGCTGTTTAGATACCCCACACAGGACCCCTTAAGCTCAAGCAGAAGGGATTAGGACAGTTTGAGTGAGGTGCAGATGTCAGTTCTGGAAGGGAACAACAGGCTTCCTGGTTTCCCATTCAGGTCCTTTGGGGAAAACACAACTGTCAGACCCTTGGCCCTATAGGCCTTGAGCCAA